CCCAGACTCCTCCCACCGTCAGCTGTGGTTCCTGGAGCCTGAGGCCTGGCTCAGAACAGGCACAGAAGCCAGATTTCTGGGACTGCGGGATGTGACTTTGCCCTGGGGAGAGATGGAGCGGGTGGTGAAGGGGTGGGGTGAGAGAGTGTTTCTTTCTCTCCCCTCGCACGGACAGAATCAGAGAAAATGCCAGATCCCAGGCGGAGATTCAAGAAGGCAGTGTATTTAAGAGAATGGTGGCCCCCAAAGACGTCCACATCCTAATCCCCAGAGGCTGGGAATATGCAAGTTTGCAAGGCAAAGGGGACTCTGCGGGTACCGGGACCTTAAAGATCCTGGGATGGAGAGATCATCCACGTGGAACCCAAAGGTGATCCCAAATTTGTAAGAAGGCGGCAGAGGGAGATCTGACAGCAGAATAGACAGGAGGATATGTGACGGCAGAAGAAAGATTGTAGAGACAGTCAGTCCAGGAATGCTGGCGGCCACTGGGAACCTTGGAAGCAAGGGACAGATTCTCCCCAGAACCTCTAGAAGGAACCAACCCCCCAATGCCTTGACTTCAGCCTTGTGAGGCTCACTGTTGGACTCCAGAACTGTAAGTAAATACATGTGTCTTGTGTTAGCCATGACTTTAAGTTTAACCCCCCTGGCCCTCGAGAGGCTCCAGGAGGATATCCATCTCCTGGCCTTTTCCAACTTGTAGAGCTGCATTCCATGCCTCGCGGCCCCCACCTCCATCTTCAAAGCCAGCCGTGTGGCATCTTCTCTCTTGGACTCTGCTTTGAGCTGCATTTCTGTCCCCTGGCCTTCGCTTCTGTGTCCCAATCTCCCTTTGCTTCCCTCTTATAAGAATGCATGGGGTGGGGGATGGGCACTAAGGAGGGCACGTGTTGTAATGGCACTGGGTGTTATATGCGACTGATGAATCATTGACCATTACGCCTAAAACAAATGATGTACTATATGTTGGCTAATGGGATTTTTTAAAAAGTGTTTGGAGTTACATTCGGGGCCTACCAGGATCACCCAGGGTAATCTCCCCGCCTCAGAAGGCTCAATTTAATCCCATTGGCAAAATCCTTTTTGTCATCTAAGAATTAACATTTACAGGTTCTGGGGATTAGGACCTGAGTATCTTTGGGGGGGCATTTTTCCTAGCCTACCACAAACGGCAATGCCCATTTTAATGATGAGGGGCGGGCAGGGATTCCCTCCTTCTATTCAGGACCCTTTAAAATAAGGAAGGAGGGGTGCCTGGGTGGCTCAGTCAGTAAAGCCTTTGCCTTCCGCTCAGGTCATGATCTTAGGGTCATGGTATCCAGCCCCGAATCAGGCTCCCTGCTCAGCGGGAAGCCTGCTTCTCCCTCTCCCACTTCCCCTACTTGTGTTCCCTCTCTCGCTGTGTCTCCCTCTGTCAAATAAATAAATAAAATCTTTAACAAAAAAATCCGAGGTCACTCCTATTAGCTAGGGGAGAGGGATGTTTGTACCTTCAGGGTTTGTGCAATGACTGTTGTCTGCACTTAGAGAAAATTATGAAATACACTTGTTTGTTTGTTTTGTCTTACCTTATGAAGGCCAAAGAGTGACCTTGACTGTGGTTTGTGTTCTGCGAGATTGTTTCTGTCCCACAAGAGAAAAGCGCCACCTGGCCAGGATCTCATTTTCCCTTTCTCAGTACACAAATGTTCTTAGAAATTCTTGCAAAGGACTGCCCACTGTGGGGGTTAAGTGAATAGAAATGTATTCTCTCTCCATTCTGGAAGCTGGAAGTCTGGGATCCTTCTGAGGGCTCCAGGGTAGGATCCTTCTTTGCCCCTTCCTGCCTCTGGTGGTTGCCAGCAAGCCCTGGCTCATGGCGTCAGCACTGCCCTCCCTGACTCTGTCTTCACGAGGTGTGTCTCCCCGCATGTCTGTCTCTGTGTTTCTTTCTTTTTTAAAATTTTATTTATTTATTTGAGAGAGCATGAGAAGGGAGAAGGTCAGAGGGAGAAGCAGATTCCCCATGGAGCTGAGAGCCCGATGTGGGACTCAATCCCAGGACTGCAGGATCATGACCTGAGCTGAAGGCAGTCGCTTAACCAACTGAGCCACCCAGGCGCCCCTCTGTATTTCTTTTTCTTCTTGTAAATACACCAGTCCTATTGGAGGCATCATGCACCCTACCACAGTAGGACCTCATCTGAACCAGTTACGTCTGCGATGACTTTGTTTCCAAATAACTCACATTCTGAGGTTCTGGGGAGGATGTGGATAGAGGGGAGCGGGGTGGGGGGACCAGGATGCTAGGTCAGATGGCTCCATGTGAAGTCATGGTTGAACGTTAAGGGCAAGACCAGGGAGCAGCAGATGCAGAAGATAGGGCCCTCGGAGTACATGTTCCTGCAGGCGGCTGGTTTATTCTGGCCTTGTTAGATCCCTTTTCTCGAGGGAGGGTTGATGCCGTGCCCAACCTTGCTTCAGAATTCATCACAATTCTGTACGGAGAAGGCAGGGCATCTCCATGACTGCTGCTGGCCAGTTCACTTCACATTTCCTCTGCGTTTTTTGAGTTTTGTTTTGGTTTTAGATTTTGTTTATTTGACAGAGAGCACAAGCAGGGGGAGCAGCAGAGGGAAAAAGAGAAGCAGGCTCCCCGCCGACCAGGGAGGTCGACATGGGCCTCAATCCCAGGACCTGGAGTCATCACCCCAGCCAAAGGCAGATGCTTAACCTACTGAGCCACCCAGGCACCCCTCTCCTGCATTCTTATTACAAGCAGGATGTAGGTCATTATATAAAAGGGATTTGTTCTCCTGCTGAGCTATTCCCCTGACCCACACACAGCATCTTGCTCTGATTCCACGCTTGACTCCACTACTGGCCCCCACGGGGCTGGGCCCTGGTCCCACCTGGAGGATTTCATCTGCCTGGCCTCTGCCATGCAAAGGGATCTGGGTTTTTACCCCTGCAAGTGTAATGCAGAGGAAAAGCCTCTGGGCTAGGAATCAGAATCACTGAACCCAACTCAGAGATCCTCCTAGAGCTCAGAAATGTGACTTTGGCGATTCATTACCTTCTCTGGTCCTCAGTTTCTCTTACAAATGGGAATTTATAACAGTTGGTTGACAAACATACAAAGCCCCTTCTAAATGCTTTACAGATATTAACTCCTTTCATGCCCGTGACAACGCTGTGCCATGGGCATTACTTTTCCCATTTTACAGTAGAGAAGACTGAGGCACAGAGAGGCTAAACAAGCTGCCCAAGGTCACACAGCCATCTGGGGGCGGGATGGGATTCCACCCCGGGCTGTTCCACTTGTCTCTAAGCTCTAGATGGGGAGGAGCCCTTGTACTGGCGGGTCGTGACTGTGGGTTCTCATCCGTGTTCCCCTCCAGGATGCAAACTCTGGGAGCGGCGACTCTGTCCAACGCACACTGCAGAATGAACGGAGGTGTGAGGCTCAGGAAGGCCGCATCCCTTCCTGACGGTCCAAGCCCCCCTGCCGTGCTCTGCTCCGGGATCTGGATTCCTGACGACTGGGGGTTTTGGACGGTCCGATTGAGCAGAACTCACTCGCAGCAGGGCACGAGCGCCACCTGGTGGCCGAGTTCCGCCAGCACCGCGCCACCCGGAGACCGGGAAAGTTTGCTCTGAGGGAGCTGGGATCTCGTCTGAAAGGGAGATGCTCTCAGGAGTGCTCCAGGCAGGCGTCTGGAAATCAGTGCGAGGCTGGGGCCCGTCTCCCTGTGGCTTCCAGACTTTTCTTACCGTGATGCATAGTAAGAAATCATATCACATTAACACCATTTCAGGAAATACCACCGTGTACGACATATTTTTTACTCTCTTCCTGTTTCTAAAGGATGATTAGAATCTTTTCCATTGGGCGCCTGGGTGGCTCAGTGGGTTAAACCTCTGCCTTCAGCTCAGGTCATGATCTCAGGGTCCTGGGATCGAGCCCCGCATCAGGCTCCCTGCTCAGTGGAGAGCCTGTTTCTCCTTCTCCCGCTCTCTGTGAAAAAAATGAAATCTTAAAAAAAAAAAAAAAAAAAAAATGAGGGGTACCTGGGTGGCTAGGTTGATTCAGTGACTGACTTGATTTTGTCTCAGGTCATGATTCCCGGGGGGTGAGATGGAGCCTTGTATAGGGCTCTGCGCTCAGAATGGGGTCTGCTTGCTCCTCTCCCTCCCTCCCTCCCACCCTGCTTGAGCACACACTCTCCCTCTCATATAAAATGAGTTTTGAGAACAAGAGCTAGAGAGAGCACAAGAGTGGGGTGAGGGGCAGAAAGAGAAGCAGACTCCCCACCAAACAGGGAGGCTGACGCAGGGCTCAATCCCAGGATTCTGGGATCATGACCTGAGCCAAAGGCAGGCACCCCTAAAATAAAATCTTAAAAAAAAAAAAAAAGGTCTGGGGTGCCTAGGTGGCTCAGTGGTTTAAAGCCTCTGCCTTCAGCTCAGGTCATGATCCCGGGGTTCTGGGATCGAGCCCCTCATTGGGCTCTCTGCTCCGCGGGGAGCCTGCTTCCTCCTCTCTCTCTGCCTGCCTCTCTGCCTACTTGTGATCTCTGTCTGTCAAATAAATAAATAAAATCTTTGAAGAAAAAAAAAAAAGATCTGGACCTCACAGTGGGTCTTTTGTCTTTACCAGTCCAATCATCCCATCTGGGCCTTGGCCACATGCCAAGAGTGCATGCTTAAGTATTACCCATTCTGTCTACTGCTAGTATGATCTTTGGCCTGAAGCTCCCTCTCTCCAACTTCTCCTCTCCAAGACAAAGACACACACACCAGAGGAAATTCTTCATTTTATTTCCACGAATCATCAAAAGGATCAGTCCCTGCCCTCCCTCCCCTAGATGTAGCCCCTCCCCAACACCTTCACAAACACTGATTTCCTCCCAGAGCTAAAATGAACACCGAGTCACCAATCACCCCATCCCCGGCCCTGCCCACCTCCCAGGCTACCTGCATATTCACCTGCTCTGTGAACTTGGCCGCCATCCCCAAGGTCACTTGGCTTGCTTTTTGCTTATATTGTAAGCAGGGGGCCATTCCTGAAACCCTCCCTGCCCCACGTCCCCAGCTAGTTTTCCCGTCCTCAGCTACACATTCATTCTGCCCTGCTTCCTGGCCTCTCTTCCGTCTGAAAGGCCAGGTTTGCGAGCTCCCCCCTGCTCCCCAGACTCCCTGCAGGCCCCAGGCCCTCAGCTGTTACTTAAGGAGTGGGGATGTTGACTGAGGCCAAACACTCCATGATTCTGGGGAAGGAGAAGGGGATCAGGTTCAGAAATGGACAGGAGAGGAGACAAAGGGAAAGAGGGTGGGGGGAGACAGATGAGGGGATGATGGGAGGGACCCTCCTACCTCAGCCCCAGAAACAGAAGCGAGCTGGAGCTGAAGACCAGTCCCCTTCTGGCCCAAATCCCCTGCTCCTCTAGCTGCTCCTGGTCCTCTGGCTTCGAGCCTTATACACCTCAATGAGCAAATCCTTGACGTATTGGATCTCGCGCTCTACTGACTCAGCCCTCTCCCTCAGCTCCCGGTTTCGTGCCTCCAGCCCCTGGCACTCGCCCTCCAGGGCCTCACCCTCTGCCCGCTTCCTCTGGCGGTACCTCAGAGCCGCTGACTTGTTCTGGTCTCTCTTCTTTTGCTTGCGGTCCCCTCGGGTGGTGGCAGGATTGGGGTAGGGGGCCGGGCGCGAGGGCGGAGGGGGAGCGGGAGGGGGCTGCTGTGGTGGGGGCAGGGGTGCCAACCCTGGGTCTCCCTGCCCAGCCTCGCTGCGGCAGTAGATGGCCAGCAAGTCAAGGGCATCTAGGGCAGGGGGCTGGGGGAGGTCAAAGGTGGGGACGGGGAGTGGGAGAGGGAGGGACGGTGCTGAGGGTGGTGGCTGTGGTGGTGGGGAGGATGGTGGGAGGAGTGGGGCATCAAGGAAGAAGTCTTCCATCTGTTCCAGCTCCTTCTTGAGGAGAGAGGCCATGGCTTCCAGGTCAGGTGGGGGTGGGGAAGGTGGGGGGAGGGCACCTGGGGGCAAAGGGGGTTCTAGGGGCAGGAGGGCTGTAAAGTCCACCCGCTCAGTCATCCAGTCAGAGAAGCCGTCACCTGGAGGATTGGGGGAGAGACATAAATATCCTTGAGCTCCTAGTCTTCCACCTAGCCTGGTGCTCACTCATGCCTGTTTTCTTCATGCCATTCATGGAGTGAATCCACCAAGCAGCCCATCAGTCAACCCACCAATCAATGAATAATCACACCATTCACCAAATCAACAAAGCAGCCAACAAATCAAACATCTAACCAACCCATTAACCAACCAATCAACTACCCAGTCAACCAACTTAACCACCAGCTGGCTAATCAATGGACTGAATCAATCAGTCAACCAACAAGTCAACCCATTAAACCAGTCAAAGAACCACTCAACCAACCAATGAGCCAAACAACCAAAGTCAACCAGACATTTCTTCAACCATCCCAAGATCCGCTTTACTGATTACCCTATGCCTGTAGTTTCTGATTTACTATTTTTAAAGGGCAAACTAGACCACACACACAACACAGACGGTTTCATTTTTAATTCATTAATTATTGAGAACCCACTATGTGCCAAGTATTAGGGATAAACTAATGAATAAAATAACTTCTGCCCCAGGGCCTCTTGCGATGCTGTTTCCTGAAAAGCTCTTCCGTTGGGTCTTTTCATGGCTTATTCCTTCCCCGCCTTTAGGCCCTAGCCAAAAAATTTCCGGTGTGTTTCCCGGCTATCCTCTCTAACCTAGGATGCTGTTTTCATTTTCCAGCTCAGCTACTAAGTGTTTCCCACTTATCCCAACCCATCATCACCTAATTTGTCTTCTGTCTGCCTCCCAATAGAGTGTGAGTTCTAGGAGGGCAGGGATTATGTCAGTCTTGTCTCAGCTCTATCCCCCAGCACCTAAAGCAACCCCTGGCACATTGCAGTTACTCAATAAATATTTATTGAATGAATCAATGAATTCTTCTCCCTTGCCCCCATGCTGCACCTCCATTCCCCACCTGCCCTTACCTGCCAGGGGCTCTCCTCCCCCTGGGAGCCCGCCCTCCAGGGCTCCCCCGAGGATTTCATAGGGGCCCAGGGGGGCAGGGGCCAGGGGGAGTTTCCCATAGTCTACGAGCCAGCCCAGCCCGCTAGCTGGGAGCAGGGCCCTGTCCAGCTCCAGCCCCAGGGTCGCCAGGAGTGACATGGCTGCAGCAGAGGCTCTGGGCAGGGGTGGCAATGAAGAAGGCTGAACCAACAGCTGGAAGGAGGTTCTGGAGGTTGCTCAGCTGGGCAAAGACAGGCACCAAGGCGAGAGTGGAAAACCTACAAGTGAGACAAAAGGAGGTAGTGTCAGAGGCCATCCTCATCCACCACCAACATCGCAGAGAAACCAAGCCACAGCTCCATGTCCCCAGGGTCCTCCCCTGCCCTTCCAACTGGGCTCGAGACTGCACCTTGCCCTATCGGAATTCTAAATCTATGCTTTCTTTCCCCAAATCTCTAACTCCCACATACTCGCAAGGGAATTCTCTTTAGGTTCCTAGTTACTTTTCTTTAGAATTCCCAAGCCCCACTCCTTCTAATGGAGAAACCTAATTAATGGTCTCCCAAGGGAATTTCCTTAAGCCCTCCCATCCTCCCCATAATATTCCACTTCATATAAAAAATTCAATCCCAGGAGAATTTTCTTCCAGCCACACCCCCTCCTCTAAGCATTTCCTTTAGGCTCCACCTCCTCCCAAGAGGCCAGCTCAAATTAGTTCCCAGGGGAATTCCCCCAGCCCTCGCCCTCCACTAACCTGGTTTATCTACCAAGTTCCGCGGTTTCCTTTGAAATTTGCGATGACCCCCCCCAGTCCCGCCCAAGTCTCGCCCCCAATTTACCTTAGCCCCACCCCTTCGCGATGACTCCCCAAAGGCCCCACCTTTTCTCCGATCAAAACCCCACCCTTCAGTTAAATTAGCGTGACCACGCCCCCTATCGTAATAGGCCCCACCCCCAAGCCCCACCCTTCGCGGCCGCGGTTTTCCTAGTTCCACCCCCTTCCTAACCCGTAGCCTCCAAGCCTCGCTTCCGCCCTGTCAATCTAAGTCGGCCCCCCACAGCCCCAGCAGGTGCCTGAATTAAACGTAAATTGCGCTGTGCGCCTGCGCAACGTGGAGCCGGGAGAGAGGAAGGGGCGGGCGGAAAACCGGCCCCTACCCCGACCTTTCCACACGCGGCTCTCTCGCCCAGGGCCAAAGCGCATGCTCCGCTACCGATCCAACTGCTCTCACACCTACGGGGGTTGGGGGACTCAGTGCGCATGTGCGGCTGCTTATTGTCCGCCCTTCACAGAAAAATACGGACTCTGGTGGGGTTGTGCACGTGAGCAACCGCTCGCGGACAGACTCGTTGACCCCTCCCCCTTGGGGCTAGTGCGCATGCGCACCTGCACGCAGACTGTCTTCAAAAGCCAACATTCTCCCGGAGAACGCACCCCCCCCCCCCCCCCCCCATCGGGCCGAATGCGCATGCTCGGCCACGTGCCAACGGCGCGTCTTCCTTCTTCTGCGCCTGCGCGACCGTGATTCCTCATTCTCGTCTCCCCACCCCCCCACCCCCCGACTGGTCGTGAAGGCCGCGAGCTTCAAAGGGCGGGAAAGGCGGTTGGAGAGGGAGGGGCGAGCGGTTACTCACTCCATGGCTGCGGAAAGGAGAGGCGGCGGCGGCCTCCGCTGAAGAAAAGAAGGCGGTAGAGAAGAGCGCAAGCGCGGTAAGCGCGGAAATGGGTCGGGACACGGAGGGGGTCGCGGCTACAGAGCCATAGCCGGGGCTACGCGGGCGGAAAGGGCGTCTCGGTAGCCTGAGGAGATAATGTGATCTGAGGACGGGGAATGAGGCGGCCGCGGGGACTGGGGACAGATATACCGAGGGTGGCGCAGCACGGCCCGCCCGGATCCTTCCGCGCCCCGCCCCGCGAGGCCCCAACCCGGAGGCGGGCCTAGCCCCTTCCTCTCGGGGATCCTGGGATCCAGTCCCCTCCCCACCCCAAAAGTGTGGCCTTTTTCTCTCTGACTTGGGGATCCAGTCCTGTCTTCGTTCCTATCCCTGGGGTTCCGGCCCCCTCCTCCTGATCCGGGGTGGGTGGCCCTTTGCTCCCTCTGACTCGGGTTCTGTTCTCTGTTTCTCTGACTCTGAGGTCCAGCCCTCCCGCCCCCCAATTTTTGGGATTCAGTCCCTGTTTTTTTTGTGAAACCTGCACCAGTCACTTTTCGTTTCTTTAGCCCCGCTTCCCGAATTTCCGGCCCGCCACATGCTAGTCTTCGTCCCCCAACCGCCGCGCCACGCTGAGAGCCGTTTTTGTGGGTTAGACTCAGGTCTGAGTCACAATGAGACCGCGCGCGCCGTTCAAATCTCCGACCTGCGACGGTGGCAAATAAGTTCTGTAGTCTCTTAGATCGGGAACTGTTTACAAAATGAAGGAAATAATTGACTCTGCCTGGTGAAAGGCAAGTAATTCGATGCCTGTAAAACCCAGAGCCGTGCTCTTACGTGCCTGATTGACATATTTAATTTTTAATAACCCCACCCCTTCCTGGGGGGTCCAATTTGGGGTCCAGTCTCAACTCTTCCTCCAGCCCTGGCAAGAGCCCCAGACGTTGGACCATCCAACCCTACTAGTAGGTCATTCTTGTGTCTTCTTCACACCTTCAGGGCGTCAGTTAATGGCCAGCCATCCCCACTCTTTGCCGTTGCAGATGATGGACGCTCAGCGGCATTGGCGGTGCGCGGTTGCAGGGAAACAGGCATCATCACCCTCTCTCTTTTCTCCATCCTCTGCCCACCTCCCATGAGCCCTTCTTTTAGCACTCATCCGGAATTCCTTTCAGAAGGCCCTCTGTTTCACCTCTCCCCCCACTGGATCAGTTTAGCAACCCTGCCCAAAATAGGGAGCTCTGCACTGCCCTTTACTAAAAGAGAGGGGGCTTCCTGACCATCCCCTCCCTGTGTTCTAGCCCTTCCAGTAGCCCAGGTGGGTGTGGGTCTTTGCTTCAGAAGCCCCTCCATTTCTCATCTTGCGTCTGTGCACAGCAGGACACCGGGAATTCAATTTAACATCCAATGTGGCTGTTAAGAGATCCAGAGGAGGTGGAGGAACCTTTATCTTGAGAGTTCTCTGGGAATGAAGATACGCAGGCTTCTGTTCCATGCAGGAAGTCCCTCTTGGGATCTTACTCCTTTCACTTAGAGCACTTGCTGTCCACTCTGCCAGAATTTGGGGACTTGACCTATAGGGGCTAAGTTATTACCTAGGCAGCATAGAGTAGCGATTAAGCACAGATTCTGGCACCAGGTTGTTCGGTTCAGACTTTAACTCTACCCCACTTATTAGCTTGCTGGCAGTTTCTCTCACTTCCCTGTGCCTTGGTTTCCACGAATAGTACCAGAATAAAGTATGGAGTTTAGTTAACAGAAACATAGCAATATACACGGTAGTTAACAGCGCTTACTTCTTGGGTGGTCTTCTGAAAAGAGCTTTTAGTATGTAAACGTAAACAAGGTATATTTTAATTTTTTATTTTGGAATAATTTTTATTTACAGAAAGTTTACAGAGATAGTACAGAGTTCCCATATACCCCTCATCCAGTTTTTCCCATTGTTGACTCTTACATTACAGTGGTACATTGGTCACAACTGAAGAACCCACATCGGTGTGTGCTTTTAAAGTGCTTGCTTTATTCTGATTTAACTAGTTATTCTTAATGCTGTTTTTTTGTTCCAGGATGCCATGCCACATTTAGTCATCATGTCTCCTTAGCCTCCTCTGGTTTCTGCAGCGGTTTCTCAGACTTTGCTAGGTTTTCATGACTTTGGCAGCTTTGAAGAGTGCTGGTTGGTTATTCTGTGTAATACCCCTCAATTTGGTTTTGTCTCAGAGACTGGGATTATGGGTGTTTGAGAGGGTGGCCAGGTAGAATGTTTTTTAGTAACTGGAAATGAACTTGCTTAGTGTGGGAATCCTGTTGCCAGCTACATGCCGCATGTGCTGACTGAGGAGACATTGGGGCAGGGACGCTGGTCCTCCTGTCCCAGCCCCTGGCACTTTTTCTCTCCCTAGCTGTTGGATCTCCCCCGATTCAGCCCTGGTGTCAGCTTGACTGATTGCTACTGAGTGGGTGCCAGTTTGCACCCTTAGGTCCCTAGCCTTTTCCGGTGTATCCTAATTTGTGAGTGGTGGGTCATCAGTGGCTACCTTTGAGCCCAGGTCTTGGCATCCTGAGCCTTCTGTGCTTACTCTTGACCCAGACCCATGGCACTTTCAGGACTCAGACGCCTCTGCCTCGCTCAGCTTGCAGGGTGTCCCTGGGTTCAGGTGCCCCAGTTCCTTCAACTCCTGAACTGGGAACATGGGTGGGGCTTGGGGACTCTTTTTCAGTGCGGAGGAGCCAGGCTTGGGGAGTGAGGTGGAAATTGCAGGCAGGTTGCATCACCCAGACTCTTTGATGGGGAGGGGGAGTGGAGGGGATTCTCTGGGGGCCCTGGCTCACCTGGCAACGGTTCCTGGTTAGCACAGCCCTAGAGCCATGCCTGAATTGGGAAGAGATGGGGCAGGGGGGTGCCTCGAGAGCAGCCACCTGTGCAGGATCCTGAATATCTGAGATTCCGTGCTGAGAAGGGGCCTCTGATTGCAGAAGTAAACCTGCTTGTCTTGCAAGGGGCAAGACTGAGGTCCCAAGAGCTGAAGAGGGTTGTGCACAATCACAGTGCTAGTTAGAGCCCAGGCCTCTGCAATACTGCATAGCTTCCAGGGCCCTACAAGCCCCAGGGAGAGCCTGTTTTCCCTCAGATCTATGAAGTCCCTGACCCCCAGCCTAGGGCATAGCCCGCTGGGAGGCCACCTCATCCAGACCTTCACCGCAGGTTTGCTGCAGCTCACAGTTGCCAAATCTATTGATTCCGACCTGTTCCTCCCCATCTCCCCTATGCTAGTGGAGGCCCTCCTCACCAGCCACCCCTCACTGGTTTCCCAGTCAAGGTGACAGCCTGGCATGATGGAAAAGGGACAGAGTTTGCATCAGATGGACCTAGATTCTTTCTGAAGAGGCACTAGGGCAGGTACCTGGGTCATGCAGGTGGTGGTGGGGTGGGGGCAGGAGGCGGAGGCGGACGTCCCAGCAAACAAGGGCAGGAAGGCCAAGGCCATCCCAGCTGGGGAAAAGGCAGTGTAGAGGCCAGGCATGTACAGCATCGATCTGCCACGTGGCCCAGTAGCTTCACAGCCCTTCCCTGCTCCCATCGTGTGTGACTGGGCAGAGGCGGCCACAGGTCTTCCAGCCTAGGTAGGTCTCACACTGCTGCACGAGCTCCAGCACCTCAGCCATCTTCTGTATAGGTTTCCTATGGCTGCTGGAACATACCATCGTAAACTTAGTGGCTCAGAGCAACAATATTTATTCCCTTTTCATTCTGAAGACTGCAGGTCTCACATAGGTTCACAAGGCTGTGTTCCTTTTGGAGGCTGGAGGGGAGAATCCATTTTCTTGCCTTTTCCAGAGGCGGCTGTCCTCCTGGGCTCATGGCCCTTTTTACATCCCTCTGATCTTTGCTTCCATCATCTCCTCTTCTGTTTTCTCTTTTGATGATCTTGCCCTATAGCTTACCAAGGCCTTTACAGTTACATTGGGTCTCACCCAGATAGTCCAGGATAATGTTTTCATCACAAGATCCTCAATTTAGTCATATCTGCAAACCCCCTTTTGCCATGTAATACATTCACAGGTTTTGGGGACTGAGATGTGGATCTCTTTGGAGAGCCAGTGTCCAGCCTGCCATACCTCCCTTTAGGAGCCTGTTTTCTCATCTAGGAGATGAAGGCTGGGGTCAGTCCTAGGGCGCCCCTGCCCATGCCCACCGGGACTAGCTGTAGGAAAAGGACCAGGCAAACTGAAGGTGATTGACCACATAGTGCCCCAGAGCTCACGGTGCCATCACTTCCAGCTGTGTGAGCTCCAGCAGGATGCTATGCTGCAGTGGCCTCGTCGCTAAATTGGGGACAGTAACAACCCTCAGAGGGCAACAGATGAGGACCAAAGAGATGATACATGAAAAGACAAAGGTAGGACTGTGCATGGCTCAGCGAGTGAGCCACCTCTGCAAACCCAAAGGCCATGTGTCAGGGAGAGGCCTGCAAAGCCCCCGGCACCCAGAAGGCACAGTTGTGGCTCAGGGGTGGCCCAACTTGCTGGGTAGCAGTACTGGCCCGGCGGTGCAGAGCTCCCGATTGTACAGAAGTTGAAAATCCAGCATTTTCTGTAAGATACAGTTTTAAAAGGCTGGCAAGTAATTGAGAGAAACCCTAACAAACCGTGAGTGTGGAGAGACTCTCAGGCTGCGGGTCGTCCCTTACCTTTGGTTCCGTGATAGCCCCTCACCCTCAGATCTGTAATCCTCTCTGCCTTGAGCAGAGAACCAAAGGAGCCAAGTACTCCTCCTCCCAGAGTTGCTGACAATTTGGACCACACCTCTCCCTGCTGGACTGATCAAGTTTGAGGAAGAGTAGGGCCTTGTTCAGACCAGTCCCATCCTGAAAGTCAAGAGGGCTGTGTCTGTGGGGAAGCAGTGAAGCAGGTCCCAGGAATTGTCCTTGAGGGTTGGGTTCCTAACAGAGGAGCTGGTGTCTTACTACCCTGTGTGTCCCTTATCAACTGGCAGTGCCTCCAGCCAGAGGCCACCAGGAACACATGTAATTGAACAACTTGGGTTTCTTGCTGTTGCCTCTAAGGAGCTACGCACCATTGGGGCGCT